CCCCCCGCTCCAATAACTCTTCTTTATGACCTTGATCCAAACTGAACACACGATGGCGCTGTCACTAACCTCTGGGTTGTCTCCGTCTGCAGGTGTGTAACCACGGTGACGGTGCTAAAGGTGTTTCACTGTCCATGACCAACGTTCACTCCCAGACCAACGGGCAGCAAACACGGGGCTGCACCGTGACCCCCAGCGGCTCCAAGCACGACCTCCCAGGAGGCACCAAGAGACGGAGCGGAGCGGCAGGAGGAGACGACGGCGACGACGGTAAAGACTTGTTGATCCGGTCCTCGGACCCCTCCCCGCCCGACTTCACCTCCGCGTCGGGGCTCAGCGCGCCGTGGGCGGCCAGGAGTCCCACGGCCGCAGAGGAGGAGAGGAAGAAAGGAGGTGAGGAGAGGCCTCCTGCTGGCATCTCCTCCCCCGCTGCCCCCCCCACTTCACTGCCCAAACCAAAGCGAAAGCGCTCTCCTCCTCTTCCACCGTCTCCTCTCTGCTCCTCCCTTCGACCACCGTTTTAGAGAACACCAACTTCAACAACTCCACCTCGCTCCACCAGACCTCACCCCCCTTTCTCCCCCTCCACTTCTCCAAACATCTCGCCGCAGCGAGCCCCGTTCCGTCCGTTCGATTCAGAGATACGCCCGTTCTGCGTCGGGCTCCGCGGGCCTCCTCCTCCTCCTCCTCCTCCTCCGCCGCCGCCGCCGCTGCTCACTCCTCCACCAAGTACCAGACTCTCCCTGTAGAAGAAGGAGCGAGGAGCAAAGCGAGGAGGAGGTACTCGCTGAGCGAAGGAGGTTCAAAGACTCACTCGTCTCTTCAGGGGGGAGGAGCCCCCGGTCTGGGCCGCTTACTGCGCAACAAGCGGAGCCAATCAATGAGCGGGATGCTCCTCCCCAAAGACGGAGACGAGGACTCGGAGAAAGGCCAGTGTGACTCGGACTGGATTTTAGAAAGTACCGTCTGAAGACGAGTCGCTGCACTGTCGTACGGATGGGTTTCTACACTGTGTGTGTTCGTGTGTGTGTGCGTGTGTGTGTGTGTGGGGGGGGTGAGCTTTGCTGTTCAGGACATTGTTTTGGGTTGTTTTATTTTGGTGTGACGTGGACGGTGTGTGACGTGTTGTCCTGTAGGGGGCGCCTGCAGGAGTGTGCGTCTGTTTTTTTCAAAGCTCTCTCTTCAGTTTTGTTGACGTTTCTTCTGGCTCGTCCAGTGAGTAGGAAACCTGTCTCGTCCTCCTGTTCGTCTCATCCTTTTAACTTTAGAGCACAAAAGAAACACGGGCCACGGTTTGGTTACCACACCTCCAAGTTTACCATTGTCTGAAACACAGGAGCAGTGACAGAAAAGAAAAGAGTCTGACGACGGCAGAGGACGGCAGAGGACGGCAGTCAGTGCCTTCTTTATCACTGGAACAACTGTTGGTACAACTGGAGTCTAGGACAGAGGGACAGGAGGGACGGTCAGGACAGAGGAACGGTCAGGACAGAGGGACGGTTAGGACAGAGGAACACAAGGGCAGCGGGACGGTCAGGAAAGAGGGAGAGAAAGACGGTCAGGACAGAGGGACGGTTAGGACAGAGGAACACAAGGGCAGAGGGACAGGAAGGACGGGTAACACAGAGGGACGCAAGGACAGAGGGACAGTCAGGACAGAAGGACCGAGGGGACAGCGGGAGAGAGGGACAGGAGGGACGGTCAGGACAGAGGGACAGTCAGGACAGAAGGACCGAGGGGACAGCGGGAGAGAGGGACAGGAGGGACGGTTAGGACATAGAGACACAAGGACAGAGGGACAGGAGGGACGGTCAGGACAGAGGGACAGTCAGGACAGAAGGACCGAGGGGACAGCGGGAGAGAGGGACAGGAGGGACGGTTAGGACAGAGGAACACAAGGACAGAGGGACGGTCAGGAAAGAGGGAGAGAAGGACGGTCAGGACAGAGGAAGTCAGGACAGAGGGACAGTCAAGACAGATGGACGATCAGGACAGAGGGACAAATCCAGGATCAGACAGATTTCACACGAAGCCTTTCTACTGAACTGTCGTTTTCACCACTTCACACAGACATGGACTTCATGGACTTCATGGACTTCAAGGACTTCAAGGACTTCCTGGACTTCATGGACTTCATGGACTTAAAGGACTTTAAGGAGTTCATGGACTTCATGGACTTAAAGGACTTTAAGGAGTTCATGGACTTCATGGACTTCAAGGACTTCAAGGACTTCCTGGACTTCATGGACTTCATGGACTTCAAGGACTTCATGGACTTCGTGGACTTCAAGGACTTTAAGGACTTATGAAAAAATGAATATTTTTAAAGGGAAGAATAAAAAAAAACCTGTGATCTTTTCATCCACGGTGGTCCAACCTGAGGTCCGTGTTGGTCCTTCTGTACAGAGTCCAGAACCCTGTTGTTGTGTAAAATAAAAAAAAGGTTCCAATGAAAAGTGAACCCTTGAACCATGTGTTTTCTCTGCCTTTATATCAGACTGGACCATGTGACACCTGTCCAACAGACAGAGGACAGATCTGGTCCTGGTTCCTGAGGGACCGTCCCTTCATCAGTCAGAACAACTAGTTGTCCCAGTTCTCTGACGTGTGGACCATCATGCACACACATGGTCCACACAATGACCGGGTATGGTTTTATGGTTGACCTGAAGACTGACTCTCTTCCTTGGTCCCTGAGACCTGAGACCTGAGACCCCGGTCTTCAGGAGGTCCCTGTGGACCAGGTGGACCAGGTGTGACAGCAGCAGGTAAACGAAGGCTCTCACTTTACTGAACTGCTGGTTCGTGGACTGACACGTGTCCTGAACCGACCTGAGGACAAAGACAGGTGATTAAGGAGAGTGGGACCAGGAACCCAACACCTCAGCACCAGCAGCTCAGGTTCTCGGCTCCGTTTTACATTTCAGCAGCAGGTGACGTCATCATCAGGTGACGTCATCATCAGGGGACGTCATCATCAGGTGACGTCATCATCAGGGGACGTCATCATCGGCTGACGTCATCATC